TATTTTGTGAATACTGTACTCTGAATATCATTAGAGAAATCTATGATGCTCTAATAAAATATGGGATTGAATTTTCAGGCGTGGGCTTTGGTGAATGATACACTGACGTTAGTTGACATTAGTGTGCCTTCCAGTCATTTCTTGACTCATGGCAACCCTATAATGTGGTTTCCTTGGCAAGATTTGTTCAGAGAAGGTTTGCCATTGCCTTCCTCTGAGGCTGAGAGAGGCTGGCTTGCCCAAGGTCACCCAGTGTTTCATGGCTAAGCAGGGAATTGAACCCTGATCTCCAGAGTTGCAGCCAACACTCAAACCATTATGCCACACTGGCGCTCAGATACACTGACATACCTGATATTTATGATAACTGTGCAAATCCTCATGCTGATTTCATTCCACCAACATGGATTGATAAGATCAGCTGGATGGATGAAAACCAGGAATAGTAGTGCCAGCCTTTTGTGCTACTTAGGGCCTCTACAGACAGGTGGCCATGGGCTGCCCCGAGAAGTCAAGGACTGGGGCCGAAACTGCCCCACGCCTCGGTCCCAATCCACCTTTTGGGCAGCCTTGGAAGGAGTGCTAAAATAGCACTCCTTCCAGAGTGGGCAGAAGGGGTTCCTGAAGCGACACAGTGCATCTCTTCCGCATCCCTTCTGGCCCAGCGTGTCCGGACGCTGAGCCGGAAGGACGTCATCAGAGCGCTCACCATGTACAATGGCAGGCACTCTGATGACATCCTTGGGAAGGGTTGGGCGTCTGAGTTATCTGTAGCTAAGAAAAATATACAATTTTGTTGAGGAATTTAGTAATAGTGCCCCAGATCCTGTTGGCAAAATACTGGAAAATATACAATTACCAGAAACTGTGAGGTAGATATAGAATGTATGATAGATTATGCTAATACACAAGTTGACATAACTAAAAAGTACATGCACGGTGGTTTCATAATTGGACCAACAATAATCCTTTTACATTGGGGAGTGTTATTAGTGTTTGGCAGGAACTATTGTCAATGAATGGTGTAAATGCTTTGTCATTGATTTATTCATTTAGCAACATTTAATTTTATAATTAAATAAAATAGTATTAAAAAGACATGGTCTGTGATAGGTTTTTCTCAGTAAGTCCCAGAAAGGCTTTCTGGATGTCTTGATAAAGAAACTCTTTCAAATTACCTCACAGTTAGCTGTTTATTTATTCATTTAATTCTGCTGGTAGGACCTTCACGAGCCAGAGAGAATCTTGTATAGCTAATGGTAGATTTATTATAAATGAGAAGATGCTTGTTCTGGGAGCAGACTCTAGGTTTCATCACATCAATATAACAACGCAGCACAGATTAACTCTTTGATGTGTGTTACGTAGATGTACCAGAAGACATAAATAAGATATAATATTATGGAACTAGAAATTCAATAAAACTTGGAGTTTGTCAGAACATGGTGAGGAGATGCTTTAGAACCAAAGGTTTAATGAAAATTACAGAGGTTACTCTTGAAGCAATTAAGTTGAAATGCAATCTATAATATTTGTCCAAAGAATGTATCACAGTGAAAAAGAAAAGGAAAATTTTCAGACTGTAGAGTTTTATAATCCAGCTCTGCATTGTTCTTAAGAAGAAGTCAGGCTTTGATGGTCTTCGTTGGTGGTGGTGGTGGGGGGACGGGACAGGATGGTACAGGAGCATTTGATGGCAATATGTTGTAGGAAGGGGTGGAAAGAATATTAACAAATATTTGATTTCTCAAGTTTCCTGTCATCTTGATGAGAAAAATCTGAATATGTAAAGGTCCTTCACCACTGGGACTTTTTCTGTGAAAAACTTGCCAGTAGTCAGCCATATAGGGGTGTTTGGGGTTTTTTTTGGAAGACTCGTGGGATTTTCTGCATAGGTAATTTTTTTTTGCCCCAAAAAGGGTTTTCTGTACACCACAAGTGTGCAGTGCTTCTTGTGCTAAAATTTCTTATTTTCTGTGTAAAGACAAGTTCCTTAAGAGACAAACAAAAGGACTTCTATTTACTTTTAAAGAGAGCAGAATTTAGGATACTGAACTCTTGGGATCAGACCAGCTGCTACATTTTTTTGCATTATAAAAACATGGGTTTATTGAGTTTGTTTGACCTGAGAATATGCCTTGAAAATTGTGCACTTTTTGAGAAGTCAGTCACAGTGGGGAGAAAATTGTGTGTTATTTTTGAGAAGTCAGTCACAGTGGGGAGAAAATTGTGTGTTATAGTGAGAATTTTGCACAATTTTCTCCTGATATACAACATCCCAAACTCATCATCTGCCCAGGAATTATTCTGTAGAGGCAAATGTGAGGATTTGCACAAAAAACTGGATTCCTGCACAGATAATACATTTTTCCTGTGCAGGAAACAAGGTTTTCACACAAGAAAACATGTGTTTTTCTCCACAAAATAATTCTTGTGCAACACTTCCAGATATTGGAATACAGGGAGAATACAATGGAGAATACTGTGTTTCGTGGGGGAGTGGTGAGTGAAACTACTTTAATTTTTTTGTCTTCATATGCAAGGATGAAATAGTGAAAGATTTTGTTGAAACAACTTCCTTAAGTCCTCCCTAGAAACTCACTGAAATCCCATACAAATGACAGTCTTATTTAGAAGCAAAAATCAGAGCAGATCATTTTATAAAAATGTATCCTACATAAAGTAGTAAAAGAAAATAAAATACATCAAGAGCAAAAAAGAAATGCAAAGGCTGTCTACCACGTATGATTCAACTGCCTTTTATGGTAGATTCTTAGGCTGCATCTGCACTGCAGAAGTTATCCAGTTTGACACCTCTTTAACTCAATGCTATAGAATCCTGGAAACTGTAGTTTGTTGTGACACCAGAGCTCTCTGACAGAGAAGGCTAAATGTCTCACAAAACTACAGTTCCCAGAATTCCCTAACACTGAGCCATGGCAGCTAAATCTGTATCAGACTGGATTATTTATGGAGTGAGGATGCAATACGGCTACAATGACTGCTTTCTAATATTATCAGCTCAAATAATATGTATTATAGATAGTAAATATAGAGCATTTTCTTGTTTTCAATTGTCTAGGGGAAGAATTTTGAACATTTGAAAAGCAGCAAGAATATTAATTAGGAAACTGACGGACATAACTGGACTATTGGGGAACCCACAAGTATAGGCAAGATGCTGTAGAATAGGACACTTCCCTAGACTTCATAGGACACTATTAATCACTGTGTAGAAAAAACTCATTAAAGGGCCAAGTCATAATCAAAGCAGCTGGTCTGATCCCAAGAGTTCAGTTTCCAAATTCAGCTCTCTTTAAAAGTAATTAGAGGTTGTGCACTGCTCATTTTTAAGACAAGTAATCGCTTTCAGTGGCTAGTAAGGACTTGGAAGTGCTGGATTTCAGTGGCTAAGGCACTTAGTTAAACCATCAATACAAGATTAGCTTCTCCCAGTTTTCCTAGACATAAATGGTGATTTACATCTCCCATATATAAACCACCATGATTGTGGTTTGTGGTCCACATAGGTAACATTCTTTGGAAGATGCCCAAGTACTATGAAGAACAGATGCAGTGGGGAATTGCCTTTGAAAGACCGGCTGGAGTTTGAGAAGAATTCATGATCACATTTAGAAAGGATAAACATTGTCACAGAACCTCCTTTCTACTCAACCTTTTAAATTTTGATTTGTGCATAGAGAATGTGCACAAGTACACACATAAAGATGTATAAACAAAAAGGACAGTTTGTGAATCAATGAGAGAACAGGCAAACTTCCCCCCACAAGTGACAAATGAGATTTAGAATTTAGAATGTGCGTCTTAATGATTATGACATGGGCCAAGATCCTACATTGGATAGCTCCTTCCACAAGATCCAAAAAGAAAAATACATATGGAGCCATAACCTCATTTAGTCCTGCATATGTACTGTATATCTCACTGACAGGAAGCTGCCCATGGTGTCTAAGGGCATAATCATTACTTTTTTACTCAACTGAAATCTTCAGTTTTTTCACATGTAATAGTCAAAAAGGCAATATGTTAAATGCAGCAAAATAAAGTACAATCTTGACAACCTATGGAATGAAAATAAAGAGGCAGCAAAAACTAGTATTAATCCTGCCACCAGCTACCCAAACTCAAATTAGGATAACCTGTAGGAATTCAACACCTCATCATAGTGATTCGAGTAGCACTAAGAATGGTCACCCATTTGTTTCATTTTATGTCCTGTTTGAAGTATAATCCATTTAGAATGCATGAACTGAAGTAAAAATATACTTTATAGAAACTGTGATATTAAAAGTCTGTTAAACTCTGAAAATAGTTTATAGGACATGCTTGACTTGAGACTTCAGTCTAGACTCAGACTGTTTTTAAAATTTTCTTAAATTCTATGTGTAGGTGGTAAAAATAAATCCATGAGAGATGAAATTTGGAATTAAGTGCATAACAATAATATACTCTTGCCTCCAATGTGCCATCTGATCTGCATGCAGATTAACAAGTACATTTCACTGCCAAATAGGTTGTAGTTGTCTCACTGATAGATGTGAGAAGCAAATGGTCCAATTGTACTATCCTCCATTTACTTTACTGCTAATGTTTCCAAAACTGGGATTTAAAATCCCAGGTCTGACACAAAAGGAGGCCATGATTAGTACCAAGATTCCTCTCTTCCCTTACAGTAGTTACAGCTATGATTGTTTCATGTGGGTGCAGCATCTCCTGCGGTGATATAAAAGGACTTGCACAGAACTAATTAGGTGCCAGATCAATAACAGTTGTCTTACTCTAGTGCAGGGATAGGCAACCTTTCCCCTTTAAGGGCCGAGGGACTTCAGCTCCCAGAATCCCAGGAGCTATTGGCCAACATGGGACTATTGGCCAACATGGCTGAGACTTCTGGGAGCTGAAATCCCTCAGCCCTTAAAGGGGAAAGGTTGCCTACCCCTGCTCTAATAAGTAGAGCTTATATCCTGTGCATCCTAAGAGATTAGTCCTTAACAGAATCACTTAATATGATTTTACCATGCCTAAAGAACTGTCAGGCAGATAGGGCTAAGTGGAGTGATTGTGGTTCTGTTGCCCAATTTGGAATGCCAATTCAGTTGCAGTAGTAGTCATTTCCAACTGGTATTTATACACTTCCACAGCTAAATTAATAGTACTAGGATGTCTAGGTATTGTTGATGATTTATCTATAGGATTTGACCTGTCCTGCATCAAAAAAAATTGGACTGATGAGTGACAAAGGCCTCTACACTTTTATAAGATAGTTCCAGACTTTTATTCATAGTGAAATGATAGGGGAAATAACAGATT